CCTTTCACTGGAAAAATTAAAAATAATTTTTTAACAATTAATTGTTTCATCGAGAAACTTCTTTTGCGTCTGAAGCTTGTCCAAAATTTTGTTTTGATTTGATTTGTTTTTTGTTTTTTTACGGCATATTTTTTCTTGCTGGTAATTTTTTTTTTTTTCCAAAAATGTACTACTAGTAAAATTTTTTTTCCAAAAACGTATTGCTGGTATTAAAACCTATTTCGTAGTGTTTTTTTCACGTTTTTGGGAGGGAGGCGGGGGGGTAACTATTTACCCATAGCTGGGACCCTGACTCGTGCTACCACCCCGGATCAGGGTGGACTTGGGAACACCAGCAATTAAGGGATGGTTTCACGCTCCTCAAAACCTCTTGATCAAAAGCCTTGCTGTCGGATTTAGTTTATCGTCTAACCCAGGACGCGGATGCAGTTTATCGACGACCAAAATTTTGGGTAGCACCTCTTATGCAAAAAAAAAAAAAAAAAAAGCAATGACCGTAGATGTTGCGATTCCAAATTACTTTTAATCAATCTCCGATCGCTTAGTTTCATTTTCTGCTATTTCGTTATTTTTTTTATCTTTTCCTGATTTTTCTCCGGGGTTTAGTTGTAGAAGATAATGGTTCCTTTTTGTTTTGTTTCAATTTCTCTACATTTTTATACCTTTTCATCAAATTTTCAAAGCAGCCGCCCGCCTTTCCGAAGCTCATTCTCCGTGCGCCTGTTTGTTTGATTGTGTGAATTGGTTAGAATTTAACGAAGGGAGTCGAAATGAAAAGTGTTCTAGCATAAAATTAATAAACACCCCGTCATTAATTCGTATCCGTTTCAAGAATTGAACGGCGCCAAAAACAACCGTAACAAAGAGAAAATTCCCGCCTTCGATTTTTCCGTCTGCAAATATTTTCGGATAGGAAATGTATTTCTGCTTGAGTGACAATTTTATTCATTCCCAATTTATTTCAGCATCGGAAATAGCCGAAATAACGCGCTTGATTTTGTCTGGCACAAGGCCTGATAAGGTTGTGATAAACTTCCGCGTAGAGAAAGCCTACCAGCCCATAAAATTGAAAAGTGCTTTTTTTATGGAGCTCGAATACACATAATGTATATTCTTCGTTCTGTGTCCCTTCAGAACGTGTGCGATCATGGTTCTCCACAACTTCTTATTTGTATGTCTTAGTAAGGTTTTTGTTTTCTTCATCCATTTCCATCGTTTTGTTTACTATCCATTTACACACGCTCATTAGATAAGATATTCACTGATTCCTTTTAACCCTCTTGCCCTTAATATGTGAGTGGCAAATTCTCCTGACCCTCTTTACACATTATGCTTTGGTTTCGTTTGTTTCACGGTATATCAACCTCATTGGGTTATTTAATGCCGACAAGATTTTTATTGCTGGTAATATTTTTTTTAAATGTTACACTTGTAATATTTTTTCCTCAAAAATGTTTGGCTGGTAATATTTATTTTAATCAAAAATGTATTGCTGCTAATAATGTATTGCTGGTAATAATTTTTCCTTCAAGAAACTTATTGGTGGTATTAAAACATATTTCTACACTTTCAGAGTGTTTTGACCCCTGTTTGGGGGTTAACTATTTGCCCACAGCTGGGACCTTAACAGGTGCTACCACCCCGGGTTAGGCTGGACCTGGGAACACCCGCAATTAAGAGGTCCTCAAAACCTCCTGATCAGAGGCCTTACTGTTGGAAGTAGTTTAGTGTCTTACCCAGGACGCGGATGTAGTTTATTGTCATACCCAGGACGCCCCTCATTACGTGTTTCAGACATTTCCATAAGTTTCTTTCTTATTCTCAATACAATTCTCCTTTTTGTTCCTATTTTAATAAAAAGATCCTCGTTGCTCTCATGTTCCGTCTATGGTATTCTCAGCATCCTTCTGTAGAAGCAATCCTGTGTTGCCTCAAGCCACTTCATCTGTGAGGAAATTATCTACAATTCACTGCCATATAAGAGCATTGATATCACATAGCACTTCATTAGTCTTTTATTTGTTTGCAAGAAACTTTTCATGTTCCTTAATACTTCATTTAGTTTCGAAAAGACATCTTTCCCTATTCCAATTGGCCTTTGGATTTCGGTGTCATATTTCCCGGTGCCTGTTCCACCACTTGGCAGAGAGATAATTACTGCAATTGCTTGATACTGGCGTGTCCAATTCGTAGTACGCATCTTGGACTGTCCCACAGGCGGTCTCTCCAGTTTGTAAGATCGGCTTTGTCACGAACACTTGGCCGTTGTTTCCGCCGAGGATTGGAGAAACCGTCACCCTGGTTGTTAACATCTGTGTAGCCCTTCGAACAGAGGTTAGCTGCATACATAGCTAGTCTTATTTCAGCGTGTGTCACACGTGTGACATTGCGTCCGACAACGTTAAACATAGTTCATCTTAAAACTTAGATGACATCTGCCCTCGAAACAGATATCATGCAGATCATTTCATGGGTTCGATTTTCACTAGCTGCTCCAACTCTTCTGTAGCTTGTGTCAAATGATGCAAAGCATATTTCATAATTCTATAATCAAATACTTTATGTCATTTGCCTATATTCAGCTTATTAAATGCATGACTGCATCCATTATATATATATATATATATATATATATATATATATATATATATATATATATATATACAGAGAGCCTGTTTCGCTGTATGACATCTCATCACTGTGAGTGTGGCTAACATACAATTACTTCAAGCCGGGATCGAAACTCGACCGCTGTGGCATCAGTCAGACTCTACCCTTAAGTTATCGGCGCACGGCAGAGAAAGGAAATGTTTTAACGTTTCATATACGTGATGTCATAAACGCTAGACCAGCAGTCAGAGCGCAAAATTCTGGCGAAGTGGAACTTTTTCCTTATCAATTGAATACGAAGAAAATGCTCCGATGAGCTGCTTTCACTGGTTCCCAGACTTCATGAATTCAAGCGCCTTACGAGGCTGGCATCCCGCTCTCACCCTTTCACTGTCGAAACTGTTAAATGTAGCCGTCTCTTCTACTCCAATAGCTTCATACCTCGCACCTCTCGCCAGTGGAACACCCTTCCCTATTAGTGTTTCCCTGAGAGCTATAATCTCCAACTATTCAAATGTAATGTGAATCGACATCTCCAGTTGCCTTGATCTATCCACTACCCTTCTCCTCATCCTTTCTTCTATCACTCCTATCTGATCTTGCTCCAAATCTTCTGCAACCCCCTGCATCCTAGTGGATTTCCGCCTTGCTCGGGGCGTAATGCTTAAAAAAAATAAAGGTAAATCGATTAAGTGTACACATGTTAAATCCTAACCGTAAAAATCTGAACTGGTGGATCAAGGGAATGTAGTTCACCTGAACTTATGCCATAAAAATAGCAATATAGTAGCAAGAGTCTAGCAATGCTTAGCCTATAGGAAAGGGGGTGTAGGATAAAAAAATAATTCATCATCCACAACGCTGGCTAAACGCTTTTGAACTCTGTCGCTGCTGGAGAATGGACATCGAGCAGAACCATCCCTACCCTGCCCAGTCCAGTCCAGTCCAGTCCAGCCCAGCCTATATATGGCAGCATACTCCATGTTTGACCTGATATGGCTTTTGTAAATTGACAAACCTTGCTTAAAGCTTTAAATGATAATAACTAATGTTCTCATCCTTCTTATTATTTCGGCCGTTTTACACTCCTGTCTTCTTCAGGTGTCTTTCGAGCTAGAGAAGAATACTGGAAAATTAGACGCCTAAAGGAATCAGCAAATATGCAATAGCCTTAGCATATAAATATCACACGGTAACCTCTAATAAAAAAGAAATAGAAACAACAGCTAAGAGAACCAAACTTAACAGGAACGTCTTCAGCCGTAAAAAACAGAAGCGGCAACCAAAGGAGATTAAGCAGAACAGCAGGACGGTAACAAATGTATATTATAAAAACATTAAGGTTTAAAGATCACTGTTCTAGATTCGGGATTGTCCCACGGGACAACAGTCTAGAAGATTAAAGCGATGGTTCGTGAATTTGGTGACAAGTAATTGTGGACTCAATCCTTGGCTGGATAATACGGATCCAGAGAACGGAAACAAGGCTAACAATAAATGAGCAGTACTCAACAGAGAACAAGACAAGCAACGGAATGATAACAATCTAACGACGGATATTAAATGACTGGTTTAGAAACCTGAAACGTTGGGATAAAACAACATAGATGAAGACATTAGTCAGAATGTAAACAATGTGAGCAATGATAACTCTTCAACCTGTAAATTCAGACAGAAGTTTGTCTTCTAAGATGGGCTAACTCAGGGTAGATTTGGTGGAATAAATGTTAATCCTCAAAACCTTCTGATAAGAGGCCTTGCTGATGGATGTAGTTTATCGTCTTACCCAGGACGGTTCATTACCTTAAATAAGCAACAAACAAATTGTAATTTTTAATTTAACAAAGGCACCATTGACATATAACTATCTCCTTTTTACTTTTTTTATTCGTTTGAATTCTTTGTTGGGAAATGAACGATTCGGTGAAGATTAAATTTAATGGTTTCGCTGAATCCAGTTTTCGATCAAATGACATTTGCTGTTCTGAACTGAAGCCAGGCCGGAGAACATTTCAGCCGGCCAAAACGTTGTAATGAAAAACAACAATGAAAAAATGATAGAGTAATGTGAAAAAGATTTTGTTGTAGCGTCCGAGTAGAAGCTAGCAAAAATATATAACAGTGTGATAAATGACCAAGTTAGAGCAGTCGATGTGTCTCTAGAGAATATTGGATCAGTCCAGAGCTTTCTGCTCAGATGTATAACCTTAGAGAAGTAGAAAATTGAACACTGAAAAAAAAAAAACGGTTAAAGAATAAAGAAGGAAAAATGGAACATCCACTGACGTATCGATTCGATTTTGAAAGACAAATAAATGTGTAAAATTCAAGTGCGATTACCGGTTTTGCCCTGAAAACTACGATTTTCCCCAAACCGGTGATTAACATTAATGTCTGGCTCGTCAAAGAATTCTGGCGTACTGCAAAGAAGTCGGAAAGAGGAAAGTTCTTTCCGCCAATATTCAAATTGCCTCTTGGGAAAATACACTTACTTCACTACAAATTGGCCTTTTCTTTTCTCTTGCTTTCTTCTTTTCTTTTTCTTTTTTCTTTTTTTTGTTTACTTGCTTTTTTTCTTCTTCCTTTTCTTTTCTCTTGCTTTTTTCTGTTATTTTTCTTTTTTTCTTTTTCTTGTTTACTTGCTTTTTTTCTTTTTCCTTTTCTTTTCTTTTTCTTTTTTCTTTTTCTTGTTTACTTGCTTTTTTCTTTTTCCATTTTTTTCTCTTTTTCCTTTTCTTTTCTCTTTTTCCTTTTCTTTTCTCTTGCTTTTTTCTGTTCTTTTTCTTTTTCTTGTTTACTTGCTTTTTCTTTTTCCTTTTTTTTCTCTTTTTCCTTTTCTTTTTTCTTTTTCCTTTTCTTTTCTCTTGCTTTTTTCTGTTCTTTTTCTTTTTTTTCTTTTTCTTGTTTACTTGCTTTTTTTCTTCTTCCTTTTCTTTTCTCTTGCTTTTTTCCTCTTATTCTTGTCTTTCTTCTTGTTTTCCTTCCTACTTTTCGTTTATTATTATTTTCCTCTGTTTCAATTGCTGTTCAGTCAATTCTCTCGCGTTTTCTATTTTTCTCTAAGATTTTTTCACCTTTTCTTTTGCTTTTCTTCTTCGTTTCGCTTGTTTCTTTCTTCTTCTTTTTTTCTTCTTTTTCTAATTATTATTATTATTATTATTATTATTATTATTATTCACTTTAACCATTCTTTCTTTTCTCTTTTTTTTTTCTTTCTGTTTTGGTCATCATTTCTCTTTCTTTTTTTCCTTTTCTCATTCATTTCTCTTGTATTTTTGCCTACGTTTTTCATGTTTTTCCTACTTCATATTCTTTGCTTTTCTTTTAAACTTCTTTTTTTGATTTCATTTTCTTCTTCTTACTTGCTATCTTTCATTTCCATCTTCTTAACAAAAAAAGAAAATAAAGAAAAATAGAAAGACGATTAACGAAAAAGAGAGGGCAAAATCTAAATTGTCTTTTACTTCAATCATCCTTTTTTTCTCTTTCATTTTTTCTTTGTCTTCCTCGCATTTTTTCGCTTTCCATATTCTTCTTTATCTTAAACAAAAACAAAAAAAGATTTTCTTTCAGAAACTTTATTTTCTTTCGAACCGTTTCTTTTGTAAGCATTTGAAAACTTCACAATTCTATTGTTATTGTATTTGATTTGATAGCAATTCGCCTTTTGTCTACTCTTATCATTCCTGACGGTGAATTTTCAACTTTTTGATTCATTCGAAACAAAGACAATCAAAAACCTACCACCTCCCCAACCTCTACGCCCATAAGGCCTATCTCTCTTTTTCTCTCTCTCTCTCTCTCATCCTCGACACAGGCTCTCACGTAAATCTCTTTCTCTGTCTCCAGCTCTCTGACACACACACAAAAACGAATACTTCGCCACTGTTTTATATAAAAATCAAGCACGCTCAATTTCCTTGTAAACCTATGCTTATAAACAAAAAATAAACATGACAGAAAAAAAAAAACAAAAAAACAAAAAAACATTTACACAAGCACCTTGGCTTATAATAGACGCAGGTTCCAATTAAATAATCTAGAATAAAGAAAAGATACTTATATTGTAGATAAAATGGTATAAAATAATTCACGTTTTCATCCGCGAGTAAGATTCAACTAAAAGTTAAAAACGAGTTTCTTAATCTTTGGTAGCATAATCAGTTTTCTCTTAAACTCATTTACAAAAAATAATTAACAATTAAACATTCGGTTATGAAAGCTCCTCTTATCTATCTATCTATCTATCTATCTATCTACTCCAGTCTGTCCATATCTATCTATCTATCTATCTATCTACTCCAGTTTGTCCATATCTATCTATCTATGTTTATATGTATAAATGTATGTATGTAAGTTTTGATGAGTGAATGTGAGCGTGGCTGAGTAATTAGAATAAATGCTCCTCCTCCTCCTATCTATCTATCTATCTATCTATCTATCTATCTATCTATCTATCTATCTATCTATCTATCTGTATTCATACGTATATATGTGTGTATGTCTGTATGTACGTACGGATGGATGGATGGATGAATGTGAACGTGACCGACTTCATTTTCCGACGATGTTTTGAATCTCATCGGTGTCTTGATCTTCACCAAGAGTTTGGACGTTTTTGATCATCTCAGCCAGTGGATGTGATCTCAGCGCGCGGCACCTTTAGAAAGAAACTTAAAACCAATACCACTGGTTGATACAAGCCTCGTCAGTAAAAATAGGCAGACCGAAATGTTCAGAAACCGTCGATGGTTGTGAAAGTCACAAGTCATCGTTACTGAGGGTTTAAGCGTAGAGGTCTTTTGTTCAAACTGCGGATCATCCTATTTGATGCGTCCTCACATAGAAACTGTAACTAAGGTCTGCTCAGTATAGTTGCAGTATAAACCACTGGTAAGCTATGTGGCTGTTGGACAAATACAAATGAATCTGAACACAGATAGGTAGATAGATAGATAGATAGATAGATAGATAGATATGGACAGACTGGAATAGACAGATATGAACAGAATTAGATAGATAGATAGATAGATAGATAGATAGATAGATATGAACGGACTTAGATAGATAGATAGATAGATATGAACGGACTTAGATAGATAGATAGATAGATAGATAGATAGATAGATATGAATTTACATTTTTCCTTAACGAATTGACTCCCTGATCAAAAGAAATTTATGAAGAATTATACTGAACATTGCACTACATGCTTATCAAGAAAATTTATTTTATTTCTCTCAGACCATAGTTCAATTAGTACAAATTCAAACACACACGGAAAATTATCAAACTCCTTGCTGTAACATATTTGTGGAAAATGCAAGCATAATACCGTCATCTACATTAAAAAAAATAAATAAATAAAAAATAAACTAAAAATAATGGAAGCATTAATAGTAAGAAAGAAAAAAGCTAAAACTCAATAATATCAAATATGAACATGGCCACAGCGTCTTGACCGTGTTTGGAAAATAAAAAATATACTCATCACACATACATTTCTACATATTCAGCTTTTAATTGGAATTTTTCTTCCAAATCTGTCTATATCTCTGAGATGCGAAATTATGATTACTTGCATTATTTATATTATTCGGACTGTTATCCTCATCTTCATTGTCGTATTCACAAAGTTTCGGCCGTTTTACGCTGTGACTTTTTCAGGAGATTGGAATTGCAATATAAGCTCTGGTAAAAATGCAATAATAATAATAACGGAAAAATTGCAATATGAGCACTGGTAAAAATGATTGCTGAGACATTAGTTTTATAAGTCCCCAAAATTCATACACAGATATCATCAAGGAGACGTGGCCCAGTGGGAAAAGACGTTGTTTAGGACGCATTCCAAAAACTGGGCAGAGTATTGCGAGATTTCTTTGGTAACAAAGAAAAGAATTCTGAGTTGTTACGTGACATCTGTCCTTCTTTACGGCAGCGAATGTGGAACGATTTCCTCAAAGACTAAGAAGAAACTCGAGGCAACGGAGATGTGATTCTACAGAAGGATGATGAGGATAGCATGGACCCAGTGTGTGAGGAACGATGTGGTCTTAGGTAGGTTGCAAACAAGGAGAAGGCTTATACTTATTATCAGGAAGAGGCAGCTGAAGTTCCTGGGACAATGAGGAAGGAGGGCCTGGAGAATCTTATAGTCACCGGTCGAACAGAGGGAAAAAGAGACAAGGGTGAAAAAAAAAAACGCATGTCATACATAGCGGGCTTAAGCAAGTGGATGAGAGAACGTGGTCTGGGGGAGGTAGCAGAGGGAAGGAAGTTGTTGAGAGCTGCAAGGGATAGAGGTGGATGGAGAGCCATGATCGCCTACGTCCTGAAAGGAATGGTACATAAAAAGAAAACAGTAGCTGCCTCGTGGCATTCGCTTGGATTCCTTCGATGTCTTGAAATCATTTTCATTTCAAGTGGGATTAGGTTTTGGAAGAGTAAGATGTCGCGAAGAACGGGATCTGGGTAATATAGTGGTTGTCAGATCTGCGAATTATTTTGCTTCACCCCAAACCACAGTACAAGCCACAATCAGTGATGAGAACCCTGATGTGTGGTGAGACGTCCATAATCTACGCAATTTCATTCCAGGTTGTCCTGTAAACAACGGAAGTGAGCGAGAAAGTTATAACTTAGCGAGACATTGTGCGATGCCAATCTATACAAAGCGGCTTCAGTCTTCCTACCTGAGCTCCGTTACCATAGAATCAGTCCCAATAAGTTTTTGATCTGATCTCGTATATATATATATATATATATATATATATATATATATATATATATATATGAGTGTTTGTGTTTATTTTACTGTTCTCTGCCATTATACCTTTGTGTGTATGACGAATTTTCAAAGATCTCTTGCAAGACAAATGATATTAAACAGAGAAAAATATTTCTTCATTTCTGTTCATTTTACAATTATGTTTTAAGTAAGTAGAGAATAGAAAGGAAGACATTTTCAATCATGAAGCAGTTATTTGCATCTGGTGTACGGTGAAGGCCGAAGACAAGGTCTTGAGCAAAAGTAAAGCAGCTTCGTATATTTATTCTGTCTTTCCTAAATTGAATTTTCAATACGAAAAGAAAAACGATCAAATCACTCAGACCAAATATTTATATCGAAGCCTAACAAGAAAGTCGAACTGTTTGAAGCTGCCGAAGTTAACAGTTGTTCATTTCTAAAAGTGAATAAATGCGATAGATTAAAAAAAGAAATATGAGATTTTTCTAACACTATTGTTTAGTCGTAACCAACACATGTGGAAATGAATATTGCTTGTCTCGTAAATATTTACGCCATTTGGCCAACAGTCGTCATTTCTTAAGCTCATTTTATTTTGAGACAAAGCCACTAATATGGAACACCCAATGAGGTTCCAACATTACCTTGTGTAATGACCAAATAGACTATCTCGGTAAACATTATGGCACGTCGAGGCCTCCAAAGGTCATACAATTCTTCGGTTGCCATAATAATGATAATAGCAGTCGTTTGGTAATGGTAGTAGTAACATTAGCCATTTGACAATGGTAATAGTAATATTAGCTGTTTGGCAATGGTAATAGTAATATTAGCCGGTTGACAATGGTAGTGGTAATATTAGCCGTTTGGCAGCCAGATACTTTCTGAGCGACTGCTCGGTTCAACTCTCTTCCTACGGGCGAGAGGAACCTGAAGGAAAGGCTACGCCGAAGGGCGGAGTCTCCTTCGGGAGGGATTAACCGGCCCTGAACCCGTTTATACGGGTTCAAATGGGCTTTTTTTGGCCGAGCCTAATGAAACCGGGAATGCCCACATTAAAAAGGCCTTGTGCCGCATGACGCCCTCGTGGGGGGGTGGCTAAATATCTTAGCCGTTTGGCAGTGGTAATGGTAATATTAGCTATTTGGCAATGGTAATGCTAATATTAGCCGTTTGGCAATGGTAAGAGTAATATCAGCCATTTAGCAATGTTAATGCTAATATTAGCCGTTTGGCAATGGTAGTAGTAATATTAGTCGTTTACAAGTAGCAGTGATAATATTAGCCGTTTGGCAATGGTAATGGTAATATTAGCCGTTTGGCAATGTCAATGGTAGTATTAGCCATTTGATAATGGTAATAGTAATATAAGCCACTTAGCAATGGTAATGGTAATATTAGCCGTTTGGTAATGGTAGTAATAGTATTAGCCATTTGACAATGTAATGATCGTTTGGCAATGGTAGTCGTAATATTAGCTGTGTCCTAATTCTAACTGTAATGATAGCCATTTGGCAATTGTAATTGTAATAATATCCATTTGGCAATGGTAATATTAACCGTTTCGAAATGGTAATAGCAATATTAGCCATTTGAGAATGGTAATAGTAATATTAGACATTTGGTAACAGAAATAGTAATATTAACCATTTAGCAATGTTAAAGGTAATATTGATCTTTTGGCAATGGCAATGGTAATATTACCCGCCTGGTAAGTGTAATGGTAATATTAGTCATTTGGTAACGGTAATTGCAATGTTAGCTGTTTTGCAATGGAAATGATAAGTTTAACCGTTTTCTAGTAAGGAAACATTCAGCATTCATTGACTGAACAGCAAATGCTTCTATCGGCTGAAATTTATAAAAGGAAGAAAGTTTTCTAAATTTCAGTAGCATGTATCGCTCTTTCCAGTATTAATGAGGGGATGATTCCTTATTAATCTTCTGCTCGAAGTAGTGTGGAACGTCAATATTTTGATTATCTTATTATTTTATGTTCTATCCATTTTAGTTGTAGCCACTTTTGAGTGTCCTGATGTGGTTTCTCTTGGTACGGTTATTTCTTTATGATGCTGTTGCGCCAGACCACAAGGTTTAAAGAAGGGGAATTAACTTTCTGATTTTTTTTAAAGGGAGACAACCTATTCTGGCAAAGAGGTAACACTGTTCATATTGTTACAAGAATCGAAGCTCTGGCTCAGTCGTTTATCAACTTGACAATTCACCCCGTGTTGCTTCGATTCTGGTTTGTATTGGAGTTCACAAAAAACTGGAAAAGAAACTTTGTATGTTTAATAAAGGAAAGGCATGTGAAAATAATACCACGACGAGAACTGAAAACATGAATCATTGGCAGCATATATTTATTTTAATAATTTCTCCCAATGCAAGGCAAGAAGGTCACTGAGATGCAAGTGGGTTACTGAGAGTGAAAGACAGTGAGAACGTTATTGAAAAGAAAGGAAAATAGAAGACCAAAATGAAAACAAAAAAATGAAGAAAATGACGGAAAATCTGTCTATATTTCTGAGATGAAGCATTATGTATACTATTTACATCATTCGAACTATTGTCATCATCTTTGTCGCCATATTTATTACAACGTTTCGACCGTTGTACGTTCCGGCCTTCTTCAGATGGTTGGAAGGTTATATATATATAGAGAGAGAGAGTGAGAGAGAGAGGGAGAGAGAGAGAGAGAGAGAGAGAGAGAGAGAGAGCAAGAAATTTAATTACGACAAATAAGTTAAACACTTAACTTTGTTATTAAATTTATTTGTTGCTATTAACGATGTATTTCTTGAAAATGAGCACTTTAATTACAATGACTGCTTACCTTTTCTCCAGAATTTCGGTTTATATATATATATATATATATATATATATATATATATATATATATATATATATATAATATATAAAGTGAACATTGAAGTCAACAGTCAGAGGCGACAGTCGTCACCCAGTGTTGAGTTCAATGTTCACTTTTATATTTAGATTTACATACGGTCTATGTCTGTAATTGAGCACTTTATCCCATAAATATAGCACACTTTAAAACTATATTTCTGCATATATATATATATATATATATATATATATATATATATATATATTATATTGTGGGCCAAAAGTAGGCTTACACTTAGTTATATTTAATTGTTACAATCATATTTGTTCAAAACTGTTTATGTACACGTGTTTAAAACTTTACTTACATTTTGTTTTTTAGTAAAAGTTTAATCTTCCTTGTGTATTGCATCATACCTCGAACCTCTCCAGAACATTATGACACACAGCACGACACAAATTCCGATGTGTATCAGTTTCAATAAATAC